GACCTGCTTTAGTTCAACCACAGTAAGAGGGAATTTCATGCTCGAGGGTTTTCGAGCACGAAATTCCCTCTTAACCCAGCTAGCAGTGCTGCAGGAGAGTCTTCTTATATGGAGCGGCACATGTGCTGAGTCTGAGCTGTGCTGACGTGATGGGGCCAGTCACGCAGCGCTACAACTCCTCCCTACATTCACCGGCCAAAAGACGCTGGAATCAGGGACTCCAGACGGCTAAATATAGACTCATCGCTCACTGCCTGTGTATGTGGCGGCCACAGCGCTTGATGTCATATTATAGGCTATATATTTGGTGATTAGGGGAAGAATCATTTCTCGTTGCACTGACACACTAATTCAAGACTATATGTATCATCTGCATTTCATAATAATAAATAAGTCCCATTTACAGTTAAAATGAGACCTATTTAATATCTCAGTTAACTCTTCAATGGTGTGTAATGTGTATGCAACTACATGTTTGCTAAGCGTTAATGACAAAAGTAAAGTATACCTTGGGTTCAGAATTCAAAATGCTTGAAAACTTGTCTGGCAAGTGACATTAAATGCTTAATGCTCTCGTGTTTGAAAATAACTTACCACATACACTAAACCCAATCCTAAATCTAGCAGATGGTGTTAACAAAAGTAAATGTGTAATAAAAACATTTGCTGAAGCAACCATAGCTTTTACTAGGGCTGTCAAAATGGCTGAAAAACTAAATTCGAATTTTGTACCTTAATATTATTAAAATTCAAATTATATTCGAATTTAAAATGCATAATTTCAGTTAGGGTGAAGAAAAGCTTTTGGATTCTCTCCTGAGGCCACAAGAGGGCACATCGAGCAAAATATTACTAATGCACGTTTATTCAAAGCATAAGAAAACATGACTATCAGTGAAAAAAGTGCATGATGTTTAAAATAATGTTTATAAACCAATTATAATTAATTAAGTTGCTTAAACAACTATAAACAAAACAGCATCATGTATGTATGTATGCATAGTTTAATACAAAGGGCCGAAAGCCAATCACACAGAGTACATTTTTCATTTAAAAACACGAGTTGCAGTGGGATGGGGGAAAAAACCCGCCATAAAGCCTCCAGATATGTTTTTTCAAAGTTGAACTTGCATTAATTTTACATGGCTTTCTAAACATGAGAGAAAAGGGAACCACTGAGAAAAGGGGGTTGCTTTACACGACCAATGAGGAAAACAAAAGTATGTTACATACATTTCATAAAGACCCTATAAGAATCATATGAACTTGTGAAAAATGGGCATCCGATGTCCCCTTTAAGCTCCTTTATTGTGACTGATGTTTCACAGACTCGCGCTGTACCAGGTGAGCTACCGAGCAAGTTTACTACAACAGTAAAGCTGGTTATGTGATGCAAATGTCAAAATATATTAACTTACAACAGCACTATGGTAAAAGCGTTTTGAGGTGATAACATAGTATTGTCCAAATAACTGTGAAAATACATATCCCTGTAATATTTCCCAGTAATCGTAATTTGTGTGAAAAGGAATACAAGTTTTCTGCTCTATTGTTAATTTCAGCTATAAAAAAATCTGACTTTAATCTTTTGTTAAAAGTGACCCATATCCAATATTTGCATTTAGGGTTGCCTGGTCTGCAAACAAAACCAGCCCAGTTGCTAATAAAAAATAACCCAATCACATTTTTTCTGTAGTTTTCCCCTCCGTCAGGGGTCCACTGCATCCAACTCTGCAGGAAAGTGGACCTCGAGGGCCAGAGATAAGAACCCCTGGCGGCAGTCAGGTGGTACAGTGGTCACATGGTCCAAGTCGTAGCTCTCAGAACATTCTGAGCTTGCAAGTTGTAATTATCGTTTCGTTGAAATGCAAAAACGTGAATGCTTTGGCATTGATAGTGTTGCTATAGAAATGCACAATTCAGCTCTGAGTAGAACGAGTACAAATTCAGACACCTCAGTCCACCTACAATCTATAAAAATAACTTTGAATTACTTCGGGAATGGACTTTCAGAAGTCAGCATGATTATGACATCACAACCATTAGCAAATTAGCATAAAAGCACCCACTTTTACATACCAACACTTACTCAGTATTTAGAAACCTGACCTGTGTTGATGATCGTGAACTACACCAGTACACAGAGCTTAGCCAATCAGCGCAGAGCTCATTTGCATTAGAATTCTTAAAGGCACAGAAACAAAATGTTTGTTTAATTCAAAGGGTGAGAAGAGAGGATAGAAAATGGTCATTGCGGAAAAAAACAAAATTACTAAATTAAATGGATAGTTCACCCAAAAAAGAAAATTCTGTCATTAATTACTCTCCCTCATGTCGTTCCAAACCCATAAGACCTTCGTTCAACTTCAGAAGACAAATTAAGATATTTTTGATGAAATCTGAGAGTTTTCTGGCCCTCCATAGACAGCAAGGGAATTACCACGGTCAAGGCACAGAAACGTAATAAGGACATCGTTAAAATAATCCATGTGACATCAGTGGTTTAACCTTATTTTATGAAGCTACGAGGATACTTTTTGTGCGCAAAAGGAAACACAAGATGAAGGCCCCTATTTTAACGATTTAAGCACATGGTCTAAAGTACACGGTGCAGGTGCTCTTAGGGCGTGTCCAAATCCACTTTTGCTAGTTTAATGACGGGAAAAACGGTCGGTGCGCCTGGCGCATGGTCTAAAAGGGTTGTCCCTATTCTCTTAATGAGTAATGGGTTTGTTTTGGGCATAACGTGCAATAAACCAATCAGAGTCTCATTTCCCATTCCCTTTAAGAGCCAGTTGCGCTCGTGCCATGGCGGATTTGCTATTTACACGGCGGAATTTGCAAGCGCAAAGACAGAACGCATCTCCACATGTTTGTGTGCTGCTGTGCGTCCCTGTGTGTGTAATAAGCAAAGTGTGCGCACGCTGTGGACCCGCCTATACTAACGCGCTCTTTAAATAACAAAACAACTACTGCGCCATTGACTTTAGACCAGGTTTGAGTTGGTCTATGGCACAGTCTATTTTCAGTTGCCTCAAAATAGCAACGCGCCAGCAATGCACCTAAACACACCTCGTTTTCATACCAGCACGCCCATGGGCGCAAATGCATTTGCTATTTAAACAAC